CCTGGTGGCCTGTGGGTTAAGTCTCAGAGCTAACACCACGAAGGCCTGAATTTGATCCCTGACCAGGTAGCTGACTCACATGGTGCAGCAGACCTCTCCTGACCCGCCCACTGCTCCTCCCACAGTGTATTTCAATAGATCTGCCTGTTTGGCTCCCCACTCTCTCTCTGGTGGATCCTCTCAACCCCTATACCTCTGGCCTACACCCCAACTCTTCTACACAAAAATAAATAAATAAAAATCCTTAAAAAAGAGAAAAATAAAAGCAGGGATGGGAGCTATAAGAGGGAAAGCTATGCTCTCCAGTCCCTTTCAGGAAATGACAACCTGTTGCACTCTTCTTGTGTGTTAGTTAAGTGGATTCACAAGCTGAATAATCCATTCTTAACAATGTAACTCTCAAAAGAGACAAGTGACCTAGAAAATTTCTATGGAGTAAACTGCGTTGACTGGTTGGATGTGCTTAATAGGCATTTGAATAGAGAAGGTCAAGAATGCAATGAATTTCAGGGTTGATAAATATTTGGGAGGTTATCAGCATAGTGATGGCATTTCAAGTCATGATAATCAATGTGATAATTATATAAAGTGTATAAAGATGATCCTACGTGAACCCAGGAGCATTTCATGCCTAAGAGGCTGGGGCTAACCAGTGGTTGATTTTATGTGTCAGTGTAACTGGACCAAGGGGTGCTCAGTTAAACATTATTTCTAGGTACCTGTGACCATGTTTCCAGTAGGAGACTCTGCCTGGTTTCCTCTCCTTGCTAGGGTTTCCCCATCCTCACTTAACTCAAGCACAGATGTCACCTCAAGGAAAATGGGGATGAACCAAACCCATTCAAGTTTTATCAGTTCAGACAGACAACATGTTGACAGCCAAGGTGAAGCAGCAATGGAGTGTTCCACCACTGTGCGCTATGGTAACTCCAGACTGAATTTAAGTCCAGTGACGAAAAGACAAGCCTGCAAGGTTTGCTGCCTTGCCTGATGTTGTAACATATGAAACCCATGCGTGTGACAACCAAGGAGACCCAAGATTCTAGGGTGAAGAGAGAATGAATTGGGGGAAACAAAAGATTGTTCTGCTAGTTTATGCTGGTGGGATGATATGGATTCCGATGAATCTCACACACACACACTCACTCATTTACTCACTCACTTACTCACTCACTCACTCACCTAAAGTAATCCTGCAATCACAGCCCCCAGCCCCAAGGATTTATCTGATATTGGAATCTGTACTCTATTAAGCAAAGTATCCCACAAAGTGTAAAGACTGCTAGATCATTTTATTTCACAGGGTAAAGCATTAGACGCCACCTAAAGCAAGTGCATCTTATATCTGTCCAGTGCTGGCCGTAGGGCTGCATGCCCTGCAGAAATTTGGCTTTTTGTCTGACTTAACAGAAACCATGCAATACAGAGGGGCCCTAGAGGCACCTGGGGAAATTTGTTTTCCCCAAGCTGTCTTCCTCCAAGCATACTCTCTTCAGCCTGTGAAGGCCATATATAAAAAGCCTTGTGGTTTTCATATAGAAACTGCTACACATTTAAGCTTTTTGCCCAGAAAAAAACCTTTTTGGTTAAATATCCCTTTAAGAGCGAACAAGAGAAAAGGGTATTATAATGTGAAGTCGTCTAAATTCCCAGATTGCTACTACTATCCTGGGGGCCAGTGCACATTCTACTGGATAGATTAAACGTTGGAGAGCAGAGAAAAGCTGCATGAGTTTGGCTGTCTGGCTGCTCCAGAACTCTGCACACCCTCTTTTTCTGCCTGTCCTGACAAGACTTGGCGACGTTTCAGATCTGTGAGAGCCTAATGTCATAGGTCACCATGTTAAAGTTGTCCCAGGCAAAGAGCTTCTTCTCCAGAGGGTTGTAGTCAACCATGCTGCTGTACTTGTAGCGGTTCTTGAACTGGACATTCAGGGCCTTGCTGCTCTTCTTGCCCGTGTCATATGCGAAATTGATGGTAGCATCAGGTGATGAGTAGCTGCTGACTGTGTATAAGGTGCCACAGATGATGAAGGCATTGGCAACTGACAGCTTACGGATGTTTGTCTCCCAGGTCTGTTCAAGTTCCAGATTCTCTGGGTTCAGTTTGGAAAGGACAATGGCGCCTTTGGCTTCCTTAGTGCTATAGATGACCCAGAGGCCTGTCTCATCCACTGCCAGGTCAATATCCGTGTAACCACCCCATGAGTAGGGGAACTGTCCGTGGTACCCAGCTCCTGGGATTTCTTTCTCAGCCTTCACCGACTCGGAGATCAACTCATACCTGATCACAGTTCTGGACCCTGCCCCCTGAAAGTAAAGGCTTCCCTGGTAGACCACAGCCCCAGTGCTTTCGAGTGGCCGGGGCAGCACATGGACCTTGGAAGGATAGCCCTGCAAGAACTGGCTGGTGAGGCTGTACTCGAGAACCTGGCGGATGTCAGGGCCCACGGTGTCAATTCTCCATGTTGTCTCCTGGGTGTAGGGTGAGGCAGGCTTGGGGTCTCGCATCCATACCCCATACTTGCCCGAGATGGTTTCAGCTGTTCTTAGAGTGACAGGCTCTCCAACCCACACGAGTTCTCCACATCCTGGTGAATTAAACAAAAAGCACTTACTGACCCATCATCTTTCCATGACAGGGGAGCATGTCAGAGCCAGGAAATACAAGAACACATCTGAGTTTAAGTCCAGAGTTTGTCATTTACTGGCTGGGTGACTTTCAGCAAGTTACTTAGCTCTGTAAGCCTCAGTTTCTCACCCATAAAATGAGTAATAATCATGGTTTAAGTACTAGGGTTATTGTAAGTTTTAGATGTTAAAATGTTTAATATAGAGTAAATACTCAGTAAGTGGCACATTATATGAATTGAACTTCTACTCAGTGTCATTTGTAAAGCTGAAGGCTTTACAAAGAAAGCTGAAGAAAGTTTTAAATTGTATCTGTAATATTGGATTAAAAACTGGGTAGGGTTTCATGGGGTTCACTGTATTACCCTTTCCTTTGATAATGAAATAGGGTTTCCCTGGTGGTATAGGGGTTGACCCCCGGCCAGAGAGCTAATCCACATGGCTCTGAAGACCTCCTGTCTTGCCCACTGCTCCCTTCAGCAGTGTATTTCAGTCAGTCTGCCTATTCTGTTCCCTATTCTGTCTCTGGTGAATCCTCTCACTCTTGTACCTCTGGCTTACACCCCACTTTTTCTATACATAAATAATATTTAAAAAAGATAAATGAATAAAAACAAAAAATTAAGTAGAAATATCAAGTCATAATCATAATCTCCATTAAAAAAATGTTTCCCAAGCCCTAACAATTGGGTCATATGTTCCAGGCATCAACTTAATGTAATAAAACCTGAATATAGTTTTTATAAAATAATAAAGTGATGAGTGAAAACTTAGTTTTAACTGAATCATAAGAAATCTCAGTACATGAGTGGGCCCCTTACAGAAAATGGAAACTCAGAGAATATTTAAATATCCCATAACTCCAATCCCCTGCGTGCACGTCAGTGTTAGAAATAATTGTCAATAATGTGGATCGTCGGCTTCTGAAACCAGTCCTTTTCCTAAGTTCTTAAGTTTCCTAAGTTCCCAAAGTTCAGAAAAAGTCTCTTTAGTAGCAAAATGTGCTGAGATAGTATGTGTGAGTGATCTAGTGGAAAATTTTCTGTTGTAATTCTATGTGGCAATCGAGGAGGTGAAATACAGCTGACTCTTGAATGACATGGATTGGAACTGCTCAGGTTCACTTAGATTTTTTCCCCCCCTTGGTTTCCACATTCACAGATTCAACTGCAGTGTCATTTGGCTAAAGTCACAGATATAGAACCTCAGGACACAGGATACAGAGGGTGACTCTGAGTGATATGGAGGGGTGGGTTTACGCGAAGGTGGGACTTGGGGTCTCTGGCACAGGCATTGTCCAAGTGTCAGTCACACAACTCTACTCTCCCTCCCAAGCAGCCCAGCTGCCTCCCAACTGCCGTGAAAAGATGCGGGTTTGTTCAGGAAGAGATGACTTCTGCAGCACGCCCTGGAAAGGGAGCCGAAAGGGGGTCTGTTCCCCTATTCCTTCCCTGTCTCTGTTCCTGAGGAAGTTACATGTTCACTCCCCTCTCCCCATGCATACCTACCTCCCGGGAGGGCTGTGGTCAGAACACAGAATTGGATATGTAAAAGCCAAGTAGTAAGAAAGAAAAGAAGCTAACTTCATACCAGCAGCTTCCTCTTCATTCCCCAGCTGGCCAGGCCGACTCTCCTTCAAGATTCCAGAAGCAGGAACCTCAGTTAACTCTGATTTCAGTTCCTGAAAGTCCAATTTCTCCAAATTCCATTTAGAAACTACTAAAAGAAACAGACAAAATCACACTATGAGGGAAAACATCCCAGCGACTATAGTGAGGATGGCCTATAAATAGAGTTCCAAAGAGAGAGGGTTTGAGATTTACCCTAATGAATGGCAGAGTGGAGGAGGGGGAGGGAAGCAGAATGAGACTAGACATTGGTGACAATGGTCAGAGCTGGGTGATAGGTACCTTGGACTTCGTGCTGTTGTGATTTTATGAATATTTGAACATTTTCATAATAACTCAAATAATAAATAACATAGCAATAAACCTAAAGCAGGTGTAATTTATTCTATGTGACAAGGCATTCAAACTAAAATAAAAAATAATTTCCAATAAAGGGCAAATTCACAAGTAAGAAAGGTGTGTGTGTCAGCAATATTGGGGAAGGTTTTAAGCATCTACGGTGCTAAAATCAATTTATATGACTGTGGTGTAAACTCTGCCAGTTAACTTTTTTTTAAGATTTTATTTATTTTTGAATTTGGTGTAGGCCAAATGTGTGGGTGTAAGAGGATTCACCAGAGACAGAGTGGGGAACAGAAAAGGTAGATCTACTGAAACACTATGCTTAGGGGAGCGGCAGGAGTGACAAAAGAAGAAAAAAGATGTCAGTTCTGATGGACCAGTTATCTAAATTAACCAGGATCTATAAAACAAAGGAGACTTAGTTGGGGGGAGGAAGCGTTCAGTTATGTGGCTGCCATCATGTTTTTCTTTAAGCCATCTTTGAATTCAGACACTTGCACAACAAGGCATAAAGTTAACTGACAGGGTTCTCCCTGGGGGCCTGAGTTCCAGTTATCCTATGTCTGCCTGCATTCACTTCCCAGCCCTGGTCCCAGAGGTGACCCACATGGCCCAGCAGACCTCTCCTGACCTGCCCCCTGCTCCCCTCAGCAGTACATTTTAGTAGATCTGCCTGTTCTGTTCCCCAGTCTTTCTCTGATGTATATTCTCATGGTCCCTGCTCCTCTGGCTTGTACCCCAGTTCTGTATGCACAAATAATAAATATATCTTTAAAACAAAAACATTGTTAACCTTTCCCAGTAGAGGGCACTGGCGTGTCACTGTGGGTGGAAGACTAGCTGGTGTGTCCTGAGGGAGGGAGGGACTGGGGATGGTGCCAGAAGTGTCACCAGCTCAACATCTGATTCCTCTGTGATTCTTTCCAGCAACCACAGCCACAAACAGCCCACAGTTTTCTTAACATAGAACCTGAGGCCCTGTCCACTCTGCCCCTCCCACTCTGCCCCTGACTGCCCTGAGCTCATGCCACAGGTGACTGGTCAACCAGGAGATTGTGGCTGCAATTCCAAGCCAGCTGTGGTCTGCGCAAATGGGCCACTGCTGCTATCTGATGGTTGAACCCCACCTCATTGGAACCCCTCAGCCCTAGGGCACCGTGTAGAGATAGCTTTCATCTCATACTTGCTCTTGGGTTCCAGCTGCTCCTCCTTTATAATAAAAGTCCCAGCTTAACCTGTGGTGGGTTTTCCATTTCCTGATTGGACCCAGACTGCTGCAGGGGTGGTGAGCGCGGGGGCAGGGAGGCCCTGAAGGATCCTGGGAGATGCTGGGAGGCTGAGGTCAAAGACCTGGAGCTGAGCTCAGATCACAAAGTGCTGAGCAGCGCTCAGCTCCCGGTTGGGGTGCATGGAGGGCCCATCCTTCATCACTCTTTCCTCCTCCACAGCCCAGGAAGAGGGTGTACAAATGCCTGGCTGGGGGCGCTACCTTTTCCTGGTCCCATGAAGACTCTCAGGGCTCTGAGCAGTGGCCCTTTCTGTATGTCTCTTTTTCTCTTTCTCTCATCACTCAAACCATGCCTCAACGCTTGCTTTGGCATAAACAGGAACCATAATAAAACATAATGGCAGGGAAAGGCTTCCAGAATGACAGTTTGGAGTTGGCAGGAAGGTGCAATAGCTGAATTGCAGTCCTCTTGGCTACTGTTTGGGGTGTCATCCAGGAGCATATGGCAATTGTCAGATACTCTGGGCAGAGTTGTCTCAGACAAGGAACCAAGGGTTGAAAGACTGATGCCCCTGGGAATGGGCGCAAGACCCCAAAGCAGGGACACATTGACAAAGGGGCCTCGACTAGACCAGCAGTTGTAGTTTCCCTGTTCAGTCCTCCCTCGTGCCAACTCTGTGACTTTGGGCACGTTACTCAACTTCTCTGAGCATTGATCGTCAACTCAATATGTGAAATAGACCTCCATGAAGATGTGTCAAAACTAAAATTTCAATAGATCTACCATGAGATCCAGCAGTTACACTCCTTGATATCTACCACAGGACCACCGAGTCACTGATAGGAAGGTCTCTCTGTGCTCCTCTGTCCACTGCAGCACTGTTTACAATAGCCACAGTATGAAAGCAACCTAAATGCCAGTGACAGAGCAGTGGACTGAGATGTGTGTGTGAATAGACACACACAACAGAACGCTACTCAGCCATAACAAAAGATGAACTCTTATCACTTGTGACAACATGGAATGAACTGTAAGGGATTATGCTAAGTAAATTAAGTCAGAAGGAAAAAGACAAGAATCAGATGATTTCAGTCATATGTGGAATATAGAGAAACGAAACAAAGGAACAGATAAAACTAAACCAAAACAAATCCTAGAAATATAACTGCAGCAGTGAGGCTACTATAGGGGTACAGTAAGGTGGGATTAAAAATGAGGGATGAGAGCAAAGGGGGAGGGGCCAATAGACTAGGGCAAAGGACTATGGGTGCTTCAAAGGTTGGGGTGGTGTGTGGTAACATGGATCTGAGGAGATGTGAACCTATTCACCTATATTATACACAATGGTGTCTCAAGAAAAGAAAATTTCTCTGGGCTATTTAGGAAAATTTCCTTATTTAAGAAAATTTAAGAAACGAAAATTTCTCTGGGCTGT